AAAATACCACAACTGTCGCTGTCTTTCTGGATCGGGTCCACCTACTTCCAGGACTGAGTAAGTTGTATCCTTCGTTGCCTTCACTAAAATCTTCGCCACTAGCAGATGCAACGATTTCCGGTGCTTCTTGCCATTCATGCTGTCGTACACTTTGACTTGTTTGGCACCTCGATCGATTACTATACCACTCCAGTGAACACCCCCAAGATTAACAGGCAAAAGAACGAAATCTTGCACTTCGACTCCTCTAACAATAGAGCAGAGTGTTTTGTCACCAACGCCACTCTCCTCATCTGTTGGGGGCAACATCACAGTGATGTTATTCTTTTACTTCGCGAGATACACAGTGAACGCACGCAGCGCGTTATCGTTCAACCAGGAAGAATCTCTGAAGCGAAACAAGTCACTGTACGTCAGGTCAAACCCGAATCCGCTCACTGCAGCATAAGGCCAAGACTCCAGTAGGTTCACGGCTGCAGTTTGCGCTGGGGCTGGATCGTCCACAGCAGCCTTTACAGATCGGGTAAGCCAGGAGCAACATAACACTGCTTCCCTGCACGCGGCTTGCAGATTCCACAAGAACTTCATAGCCTCCAACTGCTCTCGAGTGAAGCGACCAACTTTTTCAATGGCTACTACGTAACAAGCCGCATTATCCATTTTTTCCCCGTCACTGTTCAATTCAATATGTTCATTACTTGCGAGCCCCTGTTTCAGCTGATCTAGTGCGTCGTCAATAACCGATTCCGCCAGTCTAAACTAAACTCTATCTGGCACGTATTCCATATCAGCCGACCATTTGATCACAATCGTTTTGTTTCTCGACTTGACTTGGTATGTTGCCAGATACGACCCCACCTCACGCACAGGTGGCAGAATTTCTTGAAGGCTCGCAGAAACATCACAGACGTCGCTTTCACGCAGCAGTGCCCTGAGTTTCATTCCCTGATTGTACTCTTTGTGCGCAACTCGTGCCTTTTCCTTCATCACTGAGCGATTTAATTTGGGTCGTCCCACTCGCCTGACATTGCCTGATAATCTCACAAGCAGGGGTGTCGAAGCTGTATTGCAGTCAGTGATTGTCATTTGCGTCCCAGATTCAGCTACTTGTGTAGCAGACTCAGCATCGTATTCATCATTGTCCTTTTCATTTGACTCGTTCTAGCTACCATTAGGCGTCCCTGTGGTATCGGGTGGATCGTTACTGCTGTCACCAAAGCCCGAAGCACTACCCGTGTCGTCATCACTTTTGTCCGGCGTGTGGGGTCTGGTTTGTACTACCTCCTCATCCGTTATGTGACCTTGGCGCAAATTGTACCACCACGTCTCCATTGCTTCTAATGCAGACTCAAACTGATCATCTGGAAAGCGCGCAAGCTCACCACCAATTCGTACAAACGCTTGTTGGGCACGGCGATATTTCTCTGCTTTACTCAGTCCAGAAGCCTCAGTCGCTGTGCTTCCCTTCGCCTTGAATATCTTTGCAACAAACGGATCGGCAACCTCGGACAGTTGCTGCAACTGTAGACGGCTCTGTCCAAACCATCTAGCAACAAAACACTGATGTTAATAATTAAAACCTGGAAAAACCTGGAAAAACCTGAACAATACCTGGGTGCTATGGCGGCGAAAGGTACCACGAACGGGTGGCCGCACGACTTCTTGTACGTCATGGCATGCCTGCACGGAAGCTTCATGGTCTGGGAAAACTCGCAGTCACACGTCCAGCCTTCCTTCTCCAAAAGATATTCGTGGTCTCCATGCCGTACAGTTATTGTTGCACCATTGTCTTTGAATACGTAGCGTTCGGCAAGTGTTCTGTCTACCGAAATGTCGTATTGAGTTTTGATTGTTGGTGATAATGTGCTTCATCTGCGTGAGAACAAATTCTTCATAGGTGCCAAACTTCTTCGAGTTGCGAATCACATTATGGAGCCACTTTATCACATGGAAATGACACAAAAGAACACGAGCCTCTGGCAGCTTCTTTCGAATCACATCGATTTCTTGCATGTCCTTATCGACAATGACAATACGCACGAAACGCCAATGCTCGTTCGCTCGTTATAATGATCCAAGCTTTTCGCCATGTGCCAATCGGAGTTTGTCTCCATCAACGAGTACTGGACGGGCTGACCTTGACCAAATTGATCCATTGCAACGATACTCAGAAGCTGGTAGTTGTATCTATACAGAAACCCTGGTAATATCTGGTAAAAACCTGAAAAAAACTGGAACATTTTTCACCAAATACTATGAAGAAACTCACTTGTTCGTCTTGTGTGTGCAGTACATCTGGAGCACCTCTGGGAAGCTGTCCTGCATCGCACGCATGTGCTCACTCGAGAACGATATCACTCCGGTGTCGCCGTGCGCACTTTCGTTCACCGTGGCCACATTAGCTGGTGACTCCTGGTTAAAGTCCAAGATCATCTCTGCAACAGCGTCATCATCAGAAAGATCAACATCTAGATAGATACACAGTTCTTAGTTAGTCAGGACATTTCCCACCCAATAACACACTAGCATAACTTACCTGACTTCTTCATCCTAGCTATCAAGTTGCGAACATCATCCATGGTGACAGAGTGATTTGAGCTGCTGCGAATGTAGTCGTAAATACTCGAGGTTCCAGCTTGCGCATCCACAAGCAACTCAATCCCGGGCATAAGCGGTGAATCAGCAGGAACCTGGCGAATACCTGGATAATACCTGTAAACTTCCTCGGAGACGAAATGGTTATGAGAGTACACCTCACGCTTCATCTTGATGCACCACGTGCCATCGTCCTTCTTCGAAACCTGGGCCAGCATCTGGAACGGACACTCTGTGCGGCGCAGCGTGTGAGAAGTCCTCTTACCCGACGATCGTTCACGCTCCGGCCAGCCATGAGGGCAAATATATTTTCGCTGAAACGGTTCCATTTCTACGGGCACCAACGGGATCTCAGAATCAGGGCGACCATTGTAGCGTACTTGTGCACGGAGGTCAGCATTACGGCGCGAAACTCGGATCATCTCTTTGATCACAATCTTCTGGCGCGTCGAATCCATGTACTGCTTCAAACTCACTTCGAGGTCCGCCCAGGATTCGTGTTCCGCCTTGAACGGGGGGGGACGCCTGGACCAGCTCTTCGTCTTCTACCATGGAAGCCGACCTCTTTTTGCCTTGCCGGTTCGCACCGGTCTGCCGCATTTTGTTTGTCTGCATAGTATTCTCCTCCCGGTTTTCTTGGTCCGATGCCTGGCTTTCTTCACCCTCCTCCTCCTCCGCCGGCCCCTCCTTCGAATCTCTTGACGCTTCAGAAACACATTCTTTGGCACCTTCTTCGTGCCCTGGTACCTCCGCCAGAGCGTCCGCTGAATCACCATCCATTCCCTCGCTGGCACTATCTTCTTCGTCGACTACAGCGTGAGGGCCAAACTGGCCACGAATCTCATCAGCACGCTGGCATGCTTGGGATCTCGCCGCGCGGGTACGAGCGTCCATTACACCGGCGAGCCGGGCTGCCTCCATTCTGCGAGCCTCCTCCTCCTTGCGTGCCTCTTCCGCCATCTGCGCCTTGATCATCGCTGTCTTGTGCGTTCGCGCCATGGTGGGGTCTTCCGAGGGCGCTCCGGTGTCCTCCGGGTGCGCTGCCAGCCGTCCGCCACGTGTCACGCTTCCCCCCTGGAACTGAGTGGCTGAGGCCAAAAGAAAAATTACGGTAAGAAAAACGGTTTTAGTTACAACTGGAAAATACGTGGACGCACACCTGGAAATTCCCTGTTTGGAAAAACCTGGACGCGAGGGGTGCCGAATTTTCTTCTATGTATTATACAGTACAGATGAGCCCTCCGGAATTATAGACTATTACTATTAATATTATTATTATTATTATATTATTATTGTCGGGAACGAGCAAGCCGTTCATGTACTATTTTTCTCCCTAGTCGAGAAATCTGCCTGAATAAATAACGGGGTTTCAATTAATAACCTCGCAATTTTTATAGTCAGGAAAGATTGAGGGAGATGGGATAGTGATGGGCAAGGTACTGACAAAACAATCCAGGCACTGACTTTGATTTCAATTTAAAAAATGTCGCGCAGTAGGTGATCCTCCTTCGCTTCAAGCCCTACCTGCCGAACTTCATTCCTACATTTACATTCAAGCTCACTAGCCGACTGCGTCCACTAAGTAATGTCCGTGCTGAGAAGCTACTCCCGAACACTACCGCCAAGATCCAGACGCTGGATCAGGGAATCATCAATAGCATTAAACACTACATCTTATCGCAAAAAATGATGTTCGTATTGGATCGCCTAGGCGAAGGTCTCGGCAACCAGTACAACGTCGACCAGCTAACTGCACTGCTCTGGTGCGAGGCTGCATGGTCTAAAGTGAGCGCTTCCACGATTCAGCACACTCTGGTCTCATTCAAAAGTCGAATCTTCATTTATCCTAACTTAATTCAATACATGAACATAATCCGATATCATAGTCTGTTTCTACTGTAGCTAGGGAATTGTCAGCTTATGCAATCTCTTTCTTAATTTATATCAGGCGTTCCTTATTCAGGCAGATTTCTGTATAATAATGCTGGACGAAAACGCGTACTGTAGTACTGTATGAAAAAAAACCACATTTTTCAGGAGCGACCCATTGGATTTGCGTCTCCGTCGTGCGCCACGGACCGTGGCCCACGGTGGCGCACGCTTGCTTCACATCAACTTCCGGCTGCGGCCTTTTTGAGTCGCCGCGTTCTTGCGAGTAGCAAGTTGCGACCACAGTATTTTTCATAGGGAAACTGTAAAGCGAAGGGAGCATTGAATGTAAGAAATGGTAAGAAAAAATGGCTTCACCACTTAGACACCGATAAAATGGTCAGTCATCTCCCATATTGCACCGGTCAGAATTGAAATGGGCCCATTTTCATTCATTTTCTTTGCGGAAGACGGTTAGCAATTTCCGAAATGGGCTTACCTGTTTAAATATACAATTTTAAAAATGCACCATAAAGATTATGTAGCCATTTTTGGCCGAAAAATGTCAGCAAAAAAACTCAATTCTACCCCATCCCCCCATTGTGTGCAGTGGTCTTAAAAAAGCGACTGACTGTAGGCTATTTATACAGATTCAACATCAGCTTTCTGTTGCTTCAACATGAAGCTCAGGAATCTAATGCTGAGATGGACGCCCGCGACACAACTTGTGCATCCGGCAGTGCAACAAAATGCTGTCTGATATCAATAAGAATAATACAGTATAATTATACTTGTTTTATACATGTTTGATTAATTAGAGTACCTGTAATAAAATAATACTCGTATTTTAAAAACATACCATTTACATGGAGTACCAGCATGAAAGTACAGCAAACCGAAGCAAGTGGACGATTCTGGAGCTTTCGGCGACAAATTTCCACCGACTGCTGGCCTAGCACCGTCTTCGAGGCAATGCCACGTTCAAATTGAACGGTTCAATCACGTTGCCTTCCCTCGTGCTACCGATCTTTTGCAGGGTCAGCAAGCTGTTGAATGTCGTCTGTGGCTAATAGCCACTGGCTATTGCATGTATGTACAAGTATTTTACGCGCCACTCATTACAACAGTCCAATACACACACCATGAGGCCTCAAGTAAAAGAATCTTTGTTCAATTACGTTGCGAGTCGCAGTGTGATTCGCTCGAGCGTGAGCGCAATGTGTTTGGTGGTCGGGAATCACAGCAACGGAGCCCGTGGACCCTCTTTGCCACGGTAGGTGATTCAACAGCAGGGATTAATTTAATATGTATGAGGCTTCAACCAAGATTCACTGCAACTCTCGACTGGAATCTACACGGTCAAGATGAGCTACGGTGCACGAACGAACCATCACAAAACTTCCCTCTTCAAGCACACGAATGCTTCAATGACGAAGTGCTCCGTACATGTACATGTACCGTACTGTAGTACATGTATATAAGGCTTTCCACTGAGACCCGTAAGTTTTCGCTACCATCACTTCATCATTCTGCATTTTTCCTTGGTCCTGCACATTCATCTTACCGGTAACTACCAGCAATGGCCAATCTCAAGCGCATGTTGGCGCTGTGTGCTGCTGCTGTCACGCTAGCAAGCGCTGCTACTCGCTACGAATATAAGACTGTCGATGTGGACTACAACTTCGACGAGAACGAAGACTCTCCACGCAGCGTCATCATGATGATCCCGGACGGCACTGGTCCCAACATTTTCACGCTGGCACGCACGGTGCTTGACCCGACTCTTGAGACCCGCCTACATATTGACCCTCACCTCATGGGAACGGTGCAGACTCACTCGTCTACGAGCTATATCACGGACTCCGCTTCGTCCGCGACGGCCTACTCGACTGGTTACAAGACGTACGACTCGGCTATCGCTGTTGACACGTACGAGCAGCCTTTGGGTACCGTACTGGAAGCCGCTAAGGCTCGTGGCATGGTGACAGGAATGATCGTAACGTGCCGGGTAACGCACGCGACACCTGCATCATTTGCGACCCACGTGATCGACCGCGATTCCGAGGACGACATCGCTTCGCAGTATGTTGCGAACAAGAACCTTGACTTCTTGCTTGGCGGTGGCAAGAAACACTTTAATGAAACGATGCTTGAAGACCTGAAGTCGAACGGCTACACACTGGCGGACAATTATCAGGACCTGCTCGACTACCAGTCTGCCAACGCCGAGACGGGCGCCCTTCGCCTGTTTGGTCTGTTTAACGATGACCACATGCTGTACGAGGTTGACCGCTTGCGTGAACTTGCTGAAAATAACTCCACTACCCGTGAGCCCAGTCTACCGGAGATGGTGGATGTTGTGCTAGGTCTTCTACGCAAGAACGAGCAGGCTAAGAAACACGGCTACTTCGTGATGATCGAGGGATCTCGTGTTGACCACGCAGGTCACTCAAATGATCCTGGTACAATGGCGAAGGAGGCGATTGCTTTTGATGAATCTGTCGCTGTAGTGCTCGACCATGTGGAGCAGACCCCCAACACGGCAATGCTATCCGCTGCTGATCACGGTACGGGCGGTCTCACTCTTGGACGGGGGCCCGCTTTCCCGTATGCCTGGTACCCAACCGAACTGCAGCTCCAGAACATGTCAACGGAGGCCATGCAGGAACAGCTCGAGGTCGTTCTCGAAGGAAACGACTGTGCGAGTGGTGCCAACGACACGTGCAAAGCTGCGTTGCTCACCTCGTCCAAACATCTCCTAGCCAACTACACGAACGTAACGACGGTCTCGGACGAAGAAGTGGTTGAGCTGGTCTCTCAAATTGCCACAGTTGTCGACGAAACGCGCGACCTGAATGACGTTATGATCGAGTTGGGCCACGTGATCAGTCTGCGTGCTGCTATCCACTGGACCACCATCGGCCACGTAGGCACGGATGTGAACCTATACTGCAAGGGTCCACTCATCTTTGAGCGCATGTGCAAGGGCGTCCACGAGAACACGTACTTGAACAAGATGATGACGACGTTCTTGGGTCTGGAACATCAACAGGAGCTGGAGACGATGAAGCATCGCAACATTTCGGTGCTTGAAAACCCACTCGCTTTTTGACAAGCGCAAGACTGTGAGTGCTAGTGGCTTCTTCACGTAGTATAGCATAGCGAATAAGCTTGCATGCTTCCAGCAGCAAGACAGATGAATGAATTATCGTATTTTTGTTTTAATGCCGCAGACATCATCCTAGTACTACTGAAGTATAGTACTACGCACACTGTACCCGGCAAAAAAAACTTGAGAAACCAAGCTGTTTGTATTGCTAGAGAGCTGAAACTTTCCCCCAAGAAACCGATGTGCTTTCCGGAGTCACAAGTGCATTTTCAAACACACGCGAAACATCGTCCAGGCTTCCCAATAACTTCAGTCCAGGGCTGTGAAAATTAAAATGTTAGATTAATCTTGGCCTGAAAACATCAAGAATGAATTATTGAGTTAATTGCCAGAATTGCCAGAATTGCGGCGGATTGTAGCTCGAACTTCTTCTACAGTGTACACACTCCACAGTGAACGGTTGCAGTGCAGGAAGACTAGCGTCTCCAGAGTGACGCGATCCATACTCTTCCTCACGTCACTAAATATAAGCTTTGCACGTGAAAAAAGTCTCTCGCACTCATTCGATGTAGGCGGTACGTACCCGACGTCGACATACGCACTCCGCTTCGTTGTCTTGAGCCTCTTGAGCGCTTGAGCTGCAAATGACGGACCTTCAGGGCTCTCTTCAGCTTGATCTTCATCAGGGCTGCTGGTAACACGAAACGCCGCACAGGCAGCTCGCTCAGGTGGCGTGAGAGATTGACCTCGCTGGATCTTGACCAGACCGGATTCGAGTGCAGGGTAATTGACGATTGCGGCGGTTGGGGACAGTCGGGGTTTCATTTTCGGGTATTTGGAAATAGCGTGGTCGAAAAGGCGCCGAGCGGCGGATAGCGTCAAACTTGTACCTTGAAGAGTCTTAGTAACCGACTCAAAGTTGGTCAAATCAGCAAGTAGTGAAGTGACGCGAATGTTTTCCGAGCGTCTTAACCAAAGCGGCTCCAATTCCGAAGCAGCAACGGTTTCGTCATCTAGTGAGCGCAACACCGGTTCCAGTTTCGTGTAGCGTCGCAGCATCTCGTACGTACTTGACCAGCGTGTATCATTGCGCATAACAGGCGAAAGACTCGTGTGGGAGCGCAGCAGCGCTCTTCCCTTGATCGTACTCAGCTTCTTCATCAGGTTGTGGACTTTATCAATTAGTCCTTCGTCTTGCTTCATGAAGTCCTTCACTGCCAGTGCAAAACGATGGCTAGCGCACCCGATTAGCGGGATAGCTCCAACCCGACGGCCAATACACTGATTTACACTGCAATTGTCACTAACCATGAAGGCTACCGACTCCCATGGCTGCTTGTAGCGGCTCAAGGTGTCCGCGATCAAGTCAAACAGACTTTGAGCGCTTAAATCACCCTCATCCTCCATTGGGCTAAACGCCAGCAAAATAAACCGGCGTGAGTGGCACTCCAGGTCATCTTGGTAGTCACTCTTTCGGGGGACTTCAATACTGTCCTTATCATCGAAAACAGCGTAGATCGCAATAAAGTGTCGTCCACCACTTGTCCATCCGTCCAGGACGATACCAAACCGCGTAGGCAAAATCTTAACGATGGACGGCACAACGGCGAGCATCATTTCATCCAGATACAGCTTTAGCGTTCTGGCTTAAGTGCGAGGAAGCTTGGCATTTTGACGAACCATTTCCCGCTCACAAAACGTTAGGGGTAGACAATCCATCACCGTCCACTCAATCCGGCGAAACATATCGGTGGTGGCTTGATCAACAAGACGCAGCGACAAAAGGTTCTGTGTCCGAAGTGCAGCTTCGGCGTCGGTTGCGTAGGTAGGGTGGTAGCGCTTGAGATGGTTAATCACATTAGTGTAGCCGTTAACGGACTTGATCGTCTTGGAGCAGCTGCTACAGCTGTACAACCCAGGCGTCTCCTGGGTCGTGAGAGTGCGGACAAGAATGCGAGTTTCGAGGGGCATGGTAAATTGCAGAATGACTAATGTGCTAGTATGCGTGGATGAATGGATTCAGCGTCTTGTTAGCTTCCTTCTCGGCTTTAAAACTACTGGTTGTCAAGGCTTGAGGTGAGTAGCACAGTAAAAAACAATATTTTTACTGTGTCTGCTACTGTAAAAATTGGGGAAACTGTTAAACTTAAATTTTGTACTACCAATTAATAATTAAATTAAAAAATCTCAATTAGTTGTTTTAATAATTACATTATGAGCACCCCTGCATCAAGTCTGCATTGTGATGCACCCTGACAATTCGCCCATTCTCGCTATCCCACTCGAAGTGGACAGCTCCGCGCATCACGAGCTGCTTCCCCAAGAGCCTCCGCGCAAGCCCAGCTCGTTCTTCGCTTTCGTTGTCGTTAATCAGATGAGGGAATGCGTGATGCAGTGTGTTTTCCGTGATCGTAAGTCTGCCGAAAGTCTTCCCGATCACGAGGCCGCCTTTGTTCTCCAGTGATATCAACTGAACGTCAATGTCTGGATGAAATTTTGACACGAAGCTCCAGTTTTCCATCAGTGCGTCCGCGCCGTAACCAGCTTCACTCATCACGCTCGCCGCCATAGTTGAAAGCAGGAAACGGCTTTGAGCGACGAGGATGTCACCACAAGCGCATAATTCTGAGTCGACAAATCTGACGATCTTACGCCGTAGCGGAACATACGGAAGTACTCAGCTGCAACGTTCCACACCGTTGTGTTGGACATGAGACCGACCGAGAGGACTTCTCTCTGCAGCTTGAACTGCTGTACCTCCTCTCGGAGCTGCCGGATGCTCGTCTCCAGGTCCTCCACTTTCTTCAATTGCTTCATCTTGTGGCGCGCCTGGTGCATGCGGCTGCGCTCGCGGCGAAGGGCGGCTTTGTCTACACGTAGACCATTTTGTGGAGATGATGAGTCAGTGGTGACTTGGGGAACATGGTGTCCTCTGGCGGCAGCTGAAATTGCCAAATGGACACTTGGCAACTGGCTTTTCTGCATCGAGAGGAGGACGCTGGCATCGCTTGGAGGCGCGTACGATGGTTTCCTGGCGCGCTGCATGACGTCGCTGATCACGGTATCGCTGAGCACATGGCGGTTTGGCGGGTACAGCGCTCTGCCCTCCATTGCAGGCGGACAGCAAGTCTCGAAGTGTTCGGTTCTTTTCGTGATTTTGAGTAAGGATTGGTCATTGCCAGCTGATCCTGAGGTGACGATCATCATACCTTATAGAAACCAAGATACCGGTACTTGTGTATTTGTTGTTGTTGCAAACTCGCAATAATTGATTGCGTTGAAGTTGAAATCCCATCGACAATTTACAACTCTATCATTCTGTCGAGCAAAGATATTATAGCTCGCATTATCAATAGCACTTCCGTGTACATGTACGATGAGTGACCACATTTTGATAAGCTTCAGATAATCACTTAATCTCTCTCTGTCTTTTGTAAGGCGCCACTCAAAAATACCTTTTTTGCAAGTTGATTTACCGGAAGTTCCTCCGCTGCAATGACTCGATTTAGATCTTGGTCCAGAAATGCTGATTTTAGACCGAGAAGAGCGTTCTCAAAAATCTTGTGATTTTCCGGAATGGACTTTGCCATACAGTTTAGCACAAAATCCGTCACCTCACGAGCTAGTGGGTCAGTTGGCAGCTCGGGCATCGGCGTGTGCGGAGTTATAACATAGCAGGTTTGGAGCAAAGCAAACTCGCTCGGAATCAGCGGGTGGTGGTGAATTAAGAAAAATCCGGTCTCTTTGAAAGCTGCTCCTTGTAGAAATTGCCCTCCGAAGAGCACGGGGCGGACGTTGGACTGCCAGACGATAACGTCGCGAGTCTGTCCTTTAAAATATCGCTTGATCTGCCGTGTATGGAAGATCACAGCCTTTGATTCGTCAGTGTAAAGTTCTGTTCCACAGCTTTCAACGGATGTATCGACGGTTGAATACAAGATCTGACACCAAAAGTCAAAACGGCAAAAAAATATTAGCCAATGTACAGGCGAATTACAAGCCACCATTAAGCCAATCGACTTACACGGTTAAAGTGGCATCGCGCGGAGGGACGGACACGCTTGGAGACGATGTCCCATACAGCCTGTCCGGTTTGCTGTGTGGGAAACGGGAATATTTTCGTGCCAAAAACGCGGGAGAAAACGTGTCCTTCTTCATCTATCAGCATCTCCGGCGTAGTGCACGTCGAAGGAGCTGTTAGGTCAACGCAGCACCGACTAAAAACTATGTCAACTTGCTGGTAACTTGCGTCGGTGCTCGCAATCAGCTGATCTAAATTTCTCTGGGTGAGAATTTCTGCGTCGTACGCTCGAAGGTATTCCACTGCTTCAGGATTCATCGAACGTGACCTCTGCAAAATAAAAGTATGATATCAGCTACAGGCAGCCCCGCCAGCTCGATTTAAAACGTACTCTGTCTAACGAGCACTGATGGAGCAGATCTTGTAGTTTGGAGATGACGTCGCCGTTCGCTTCGACCATAGCTTTGAGTCGTCGGTTTTCTCTTGTAGCCATCATACGTTCTGAAACCTGCTGCTGAGCTGTCGCCATCCACACACTCCGAGCGATATCAGCGAAATGTGATTGCTTGTATAGGCTCGAGCTGTTCTCATCCTGCGCAACGACAGCTCGGCGCACTTGCTGGACCGCTGCTAATTGCGTTTCTAGATCCGCTGCCTCTGTCCTCAGGAAACGGAGTTCTTTGCGTTGTTGTTCCCGTGCGTGGTTCGGATTATAGGATCCGTGTTTCTTTTTCAGTCGTACTCGGGTTGTTCGTTCTTTTTTTAGTAGATCAATGCTGGTTGCAAGCTGTGTCGTAGTCGTTTGAAGGTATGACGTCGCAAACGCCACTGCATCATCACTACGAGTCGATAAAAGCCCCTCCTTCTCTTCGCCTTCCGGCCGGAGGAGCTCCTCAAGACTCACCGCGGATGGCACAGAAGTGGCCGACTCTGTTAAACTAGGCAACCCGACCGACAGTTCTCCTGTAAACTCGTCGATAAACGAGAAAGCAGCTCTCGATGATCGTCCATTTTTGTTGGTACAGCGTACCGGAAAGTAGAAAATTAATTTTCCCGATTTGCACGGTCATTTAACCTCATCGTCGTAACTTACGACATACTTACAGTATTCATTTTTTATGTCGTAAGCTACGACAAAAACACAAAATGGCTCGAAATCAAATATCAAGTCAATTCTAAGGGGCCTTCAGAAAATAGTACTGTATAGCAGATCCCAAGTGCTAGCAAACTATGGGGGTAGGTCGCACTAAATCGCTCGCATTTTGAAGAGACCATTTTGGAGTCTCTGCAAATTATGACATCACAAAATCAAATAACGTCGTCAAACCAAATATAAATGGACAGCAGGTCGCGCGCCGCGCCAACATCGTTGTAATTACATCACAACAACAAACATTGCAATGGTCCGAGGAAGGGGGTGGACCACGCTTGAGACGCTGTACATGCTTGGGCTTGTAGAAAGCGTACTTTAGGAGGGCGGCCGCGCTGACTGGGACGCCATTTAACCGTGTAGTTCTTAAACTCAGCACATACGAAGCAGGTGGCAGCAACACCACCACTACAAAGCTGCCATAAAGCCCTTCTTCGTAGATCTTCTGCTACACCGCTCCTTTAAGCTACCTCTTTGAAGGTACAGCAACAAAACCTTCCTACAGCGGCGTTGACGTGTAGCTGATATTGTCGCAAACGCAGTATTTACTGCCATCGGCGAGGTTCGAGCTCCTGCAGCCAGGCAAGCTAGTAGCCACTTTGTCTGATTTTCTTTTAGAGATTTGAATCGCAAATATCGTCACAAATGCACTTGTTGCCTGCATTTCTGCACGCAAATGCCTATTGAATTGTGCTTTGCGTCATTTTCTGAAGGCCCCTATTGGCCGATTCCGGACAAATTCAGGACAGGCGCCATACAACTCGATTGTGACACTGAAAACATTATATACCTATCCAGCTTCATTATTTACTGCGAGCTAAGAGCTTGATATTGCGCTGGTTGAGAAGAACGTAGCTCCTGCCAACGCTTCCTGAAAAACAAAGCTTTTGTGGATGGCTACCTACCGTCGAATGTGCGCGTGCGTCTGTGTCGGTCCGCGGGGAAAGGGGGGGGGCATATTTTGCAAGGCGTCTGGTACAATACTAACATGATGTTGACTGCAGCTTTTGCATCTGCGCGCTTATTTTGTTCACGTTTACCCTTAACCGTCTGTTTGTATACCAATTTAGCACACAACCGGCAAGCGTAAACGCAGACGATGGGGCAGGAAGCACCGAAGACGGAAATGCGAGGAATGCCGCAGGCGTATTCCCAGCAGGACTTGCTCCAGATCCAGCGCAAACCAACTTGGGTACAGTATCCTCTAGTCGAGCCAGTCGGTCGTTAATTTGAGCTAACTGCTTGAGAATGTTTTCCATGGTGGACGTCAGGACAGCGTCACTCCTAGTAGCTGTGCTACTAACTTGTACGTGGTTTGTTGTGCGCCAGCGCTCTGTGAGACTCTCACCCCATCTATAGCAAGTAGCTGTACTGATATTACATCCAAGACGACCGTTGGTAGCGGTGATCGCGCGATGGAGCTGGTACTCGTATCGGGTTAGCTGTGTTGCGGTATTGGAACTCGCGTCAAGAACATCCATCAATAGTGTTGCAAACGTGGCATCGACGACATCAGGCGCAACATTGTACCGCGTCTCCGGGGCCCGGATAACGTGCTGAAAGAGTTCATTGCGGAGGCTCACCAGCTGACCGTATTCCGCAACCGAGAGACGCTCTCTCAGATCACTGATAGTCGGTGTCGTAATAGGTAAGTCTGGCGATTCGTATCCCGTTACTATCTCACCAACTCGCTGCTCCTCTTGTGTGGTCCTTTCTATATAGGCAAAAGCTTTTGTAAGAAATTCCAGCAACCAAGTGCCCCTCGTTGATATCAACTGGATTGCCAGCTTAGGGGATGCGTTGGCGTAGGCTGCCGAGCCTCGTCGGAGTGAGTGGCTCGTCATGTTTGGCGTCATAATTTGCTGCTGCAATGCTGACATGGCCTTCACTGTGTCTCGCATTACTTCGTTAATATAACTTGCAATATTTGATCGTTTGCGCTCTCGTGTTTTGGGGGTTGGAACCTGCTCACTATCAGTGGTACTGCAGGCTCTCCCAATAGATTACTGCTGTCTCCCGAGTGTAAGTTTGGTCTCCGGGGAGATCCTAAATAGCGTATCTTGGCACAATAGGGAACGGGTACTCCGAAGGATCGTCGTAGCACATAAAGAGCTGTCCAAACTCCTGTAGCATACACCGCTGCCAGCACTATCATATGGGACGCATAAGCACCTTTGCTCTGGTCGTACGTGCTATTGCACTTCAACGTAGCTGGAGCAACCAGACCTAAATCGTAACAGGCCCACACCGACGCTTGCGTCAGAGCGCTCAGCAGCTTGTAGATGGCAATGCATCTGGCATACTAATCGGCTGGTAATACTTGGTAAGATTGTCCTTCAGCAGCGCCTTAGTAAACATATCGGCGGAACTATGTTTTCCGTCGCCTTTGTAGATGTCCATCAGGTCGCGCTTGGCTTGATCACGAACGAAGTGTCATCGAAGCTTGATGTACCGAGGTCTGCTAGAGTACGTAGATGCCTTGGCCAGTGCAATTGCAGCGTTGTTTGTAACTCTTAATTTCCATCTGCTCTGCACATTGACTAAACGAAGAGCTTCGTCCAGCATGTTAACAATGCCACGGCCTTCCATTGAGGCCTCGCAGGCCGCGACGTATTTGGCCTCGGCTGTGGATTGTGCAGTGATATTCTGCCGTCGGGCAGCCCATGCCACTGCACCTCCAGCAATGGCCAATACGTACCACGTGACGCTCGTACGGGTTTCTGGGCCATTGACCCAATCTGCGTCGCTGTGGTTACTTTCCACGATCTTGTTTGTGACTTCGTCACTTGCAGAATATAGAATGCCCTTGCTGGATGTTGCTACAAGATAGCGTAAAATGCACTTTACAGCTTTGCAATGCTTCTTGGTCTATTTACCGACCAATTGGTCCGGATAACCGACTTGGAAAGCAATATCAGGACGTGTCCTTGTGGCCAAGTACATTAGAAATCCGATAATCGCCAGATAGTCAAGTAAAGGTGTATCACCATCTTCGGTCCCGTCATTCAGTCGGAATTTAGCGTTCGTTTTCGTTAGTGTAGCACTTCCATTAGTTTCGCCATAACCAAATCTTTCAAGTACTTCTTTACACACTCTCTCTAGCTTGATTCAGATGCCTCTCTCATTTGCTCCACTTGTACGCCTAAGAGCTCGCGAGAAAGTCCTCCGTCCTTGAACCCGTATTTCTCGTCGAAAGCAGCTAATGCAGTTGTCTTGTACTCCTCCGAGTTCGTCGCGAGAACAACGACATCTACGTAGGCAGGATGAGAGTATAAAAACATCTTAATAATACACAGCTCGGTTTCCGTGCTAGCATAACCCAGAGACTTCTGAAAAAAAACTTGTTGACTTCCTCGATACACTTAGCAACAGACTGGTGTAGCCCGTACAGTGCATGCTCTACGCGGTAGACCTTCCCTTTCGGGCAAGGAAACCCAGGGATTCCACGCACGTCTTGCTTGATTTTGATGTTGGTATGCAGGTAAGCAGTGTTTGATACCCCCTTCGTATAGAATCAGGTACAGCTTAGCGGCTACTGCCACTACTACAAGGAATGTTAGCATCCGACTGGAGTCTTTGGACTAATGACATAGTCAATGTCAAACTTCTGCGAATCACCACGACCCACAAGACGAGCACGCCACTTGTCAACGATCCCTTCCAGATCAGTTTTAGCACAATATTTCCACATTATACTCAGCAAAATAGCCTTGCTCGGCATTTCCTCCTCGAAAATCATGACAAACACGCCTTTGAAAACGTTGCCTCCACTTCTCGATGAATGCCCTCCAGCTACTCTTCGCGATGTGGGGAGCGTACAGCCTGGTTGTAGCGCTTAGGAATCTACACGTCTCTGCTGTGCCACTTCTTCTTCCTAGTCATTGAGTCTGTAGCTTGGTCTCTTGCACAGTAGCTAGCGAAAACATGGTAGCCATCGAGTCTCTTTGGTAAGCGACGCTCAGCCTCACTGCGAAGTATCATCCTCCGTATCTGACCATCTAGGTCGTGTTGTCGTTTCAGCTCGCGTAAATCTTCCAGCTCTGCCTCCAGCGATGATCGCTGGAACCCTGTCAGCGTCTCGGGTATCATACAGACGTCCATCCCGTTGCCTGCGTCGGTAGCACTCATCATCGTCTTCATCATGTGGGTCAGCATTTGGTGTGCCCTTTCGCACGGGTTGAGGTAAGAGCTGTGGGGCAGTTTCGGCAAGAACTCGATGCCCTTCTTCTTGTACCACAGGTCCACCTTGGCATTGACACCGCCTTCTTCACTAACTGCCTTGCACACTTTGTCATTAGGGAGCTGACGTTCAGCCCACTCATGTATCTCAGTATTGCAGCGCTCACCTCGAATGCTCTCTTTGACTTCAATGGGTGCACGGTGGTAAATCGTGAGTAATCGTCTATTGTGATTAATACTGTAGCTTTGTTTCGGAATAGTAGACCCGCAAATATCCCCTCGTTCCTTCTCGTGATCTCGCGATCCAAATTCTTTCGGACCGGCGGCTTGCGCTCCTTACCAATGTGACATGCTTTGCAATCGATGAAGCGTCCCTGGTGGGACATCATGCCCTTAACCAGGTCTCTATCGACCATCACTTTAACGAATTGCTTGCAAAGTGTGTCCAAGCCTTTCATGCCATCTCTGGAGATCAGTAGCTCTATCCGCAGCTGAGATGCTTACTCGTGGTTGTAAAATATCTCCCGTAGAATGAGGAATCTCCGACTTGTTAGTGTAGTTGGACTGAAAAGCGTTCTTGGCAGTGAACGTGAATAAACCGTATATGTCACCTCCCACGTCAAGCATTTTCTCGTTACCTTTTCACAGCTCGTACACTTAGTTGCCAGACGGTCCGTGATACTCAACTGCGTATCCTTGGTCTTCACCTTGCGTGTGTTGCAGGAAGTTCCTGCTCTTCGGAACATGGAAGACGTCTCGAAGTGTGAGGACCAGGCCCACCTCGCCTCGTTGCAATACGAGCTGTACAGTTTCATGTCCTGTTGGGCTTGCGGTAAACCTCTTCTTGAAGCCTCTCACACACGCTGCGTCCGACGCGAAAGGCGAGCAGTCACTGAAGTATCTGCGATCCGTGGCCACATGCACGTTGGCTGCGTTGTCGAAGCACCACTCCGACACAACGTAGTTCACGTCACATGAGTCAACACTCACGTGTACCGATAGATCCGCGTTTGTCAGCTTCTCGTGGAAAGAAGACGTCCGAGGTCGTCACACGCTGCCGCTCTACAGCAAATACGTTGGAAGTATGCGTCGCTTCCGCGGGGGTCGCTCTGGGCGCTGTTGCCAAGACGTCTCGTGTACGTTGTCTTCTTGGTTCCAGTATCAGGCGTTTGTGCTGGTATTTTCATGTTGCAGTCCCTCTTCAGATGTCCAGGGCGGTGACAGTGGAAACTGTTCCCTTACTGCATATCCAGATTCTTAGCTGCGACAGCGGCAGCATTCTCTGGCGGCAGCATTCTCTGGCGTCAGCTGTCTGGTTGCACTGTTGTTCCTCGTGTTCTGTTGTCGCTGCGACCTCTCCTTCGCACCCAACAGTTGTGTTTGCGTTGGGGGTAGCGCCTGTGTTCGTAGCATTCAGCTCCCGATCACACTTATTATAGCTAGCCATTCTGAGAATCTGGTCTCTCATCTTTTACGGAGTATTGACCTCGGACGCACCGACCTCGACCAATCCTCGCAACCGGTCGAGCCGTGGGTTAGACGGCAACGACATCATCGATTTATTAATGAAGATGGCGTCTCGCACGTCTGCATTCAGCGCTGCAAGCTGAGCTTGAGAAGGAACATGACGTTCACATGCTGACGTACATCCCATTCAGGCTTGGGCCTTGAAGTCTGAAGCTTGTTGAATAAGATAATTTTCTGGTTGGTACGTGTGGCGTCATTGGTCTTGCCCTCATACGTATCTTCCAGGTACTTTCACATCTCAGTTCCGTTCGTCTTGATCATGACTTGTTGATCTAGTTCCATGGACAACGAGGCCGTGATAATATGCTCGGCCTTCATCTACGCGTTGTTGAGCTTTTTCTTGTCCGCCAAATTCGCGCCAGACGCCAAGGTCGCGTCTCCTTTCGCGTATGCAAGAAAATCTATCCTTGTGATAGAGAACTCCATCATCACTCGTAATACGTCCAACATTAACCTTACCAGTTGATCGGACGCCCGCTCTTGTTAGGGTCGACTTTAGTTGACATCGTGGAAGCTTGTGCCAACTTATGCAAGCTTGGTCTCATAACCCTGTTGTCATGCACGCAATGCTCAGGTCCGTAGCGTAGCTCAAGTAGATGTTAAAGCTAGGAAGCAATTAATGTAAATACATAATGTTATCCTTAGTTGTCCACTCAGCTCGATATCTCCTATCGGTGATTGGTTCTGCACTGTTCAGCACTGAGAATATAAAAATGGAGAGAGCTACGGCACCAACCAATCGGACGTAGTCCCGTGACTTCAATGTCCTTGGCCCTGTCTCTCATCTGTGACGCATTAGCAACTTTGCTCTGGTCGTACGTGTTACAACACTTTAGCGTAGCTGGGGCGACCAGACCTAAATCGTAGCACCCTCCTTCTCCTCGACTTCCGGCCGGTAGGCGCCCCTCAAGACTCACGGCGGATGGCACAGAAGTCCCCCTGTTGGATTGTGCATCGAGGCCTGGCGCAGATTGAAGAAAGCTGGAACAGCAAAGAAACCAGATCGTTATATGAGAGAGGGCAAAGGCCCGTGAGTGTTGGTCAATGCTCAGGAAGCAGAGCAATTGACACAAAGTAATTCAGTCTTCATATTTTCCCTTTAT